GGACCACTTCCGCCAGCTCCCCCAGTACCCTCAGGCGGATCCCATCCGGTCCCCTTAGACTTGTGTGTGTCTAAGTGGTGTAGAAGGTCAGAAACCATTTCTCCTTCAATTACGGGGGCTTTATTCTGCTCCTGGTCCCTGTCTTCAAGCTCAGTGGGCTGGGTACCCAGAGAACAATTAGTCTTACTATTAAAGACTGGGGCAAAGAAGGCATTAAGTACCTCCAGCCTTTTCCTCATCCTTTGTCACTATGTTTCCCCCTGCATTCAATAAAGGATTTTGTTGTTCACGTATTTATAGAAACACTTTTCATTGTCTTTTATTGCAGTAGCCAGATTAAGTTCTGGTTGCGCTTTAGCCCTTCTAATTTTCCCCCTGCATAACCTCACGACATCCTTGTAGTCCTGCTGAGGTGCCTGCCCTTCTTCCAAAGGTCATAAACGCTCCATTTTCCCTGAGTTCCAGCCAAAGCTCTCTGTTCAGCCAGGCCCATCTTCTTCCCTGCTTGCTCGTCTTTCAGCACATGAGGATGGCCTGCTCCGGCACCTTTAAGTCCGGACTTCACGGCCTGGACTCCTTTGCCCTTCAGCACTGCCTCCCAAGGAACTTTGTCAACCAGGCCCCTAAACAGGCCAAAGTCTGCCCACCAGAAGTCCAAGGTAGCAGTTCTGCTGACACCCTCGTTACTTCTCCAAGAATCAAAAACCCTACCATTTCCTGATTGCTGTGCTCGAGATGGCCTCCAACCATTACATCACCTACAAGCCATTACATCACCCTCTGTTCACAAACAACAGGTCCAGCAGGGCACCTTCTCTAGTTGGCTCACTCAGCAACTGTGTTAGGAATCTCCTGGACTGTTTCCTCTCTGCTGTGTTGTATTTCCAGCAGACGTCTGGTAAGTTGAAGTCCCCCACAAGAACAAGAGCTAGCAATTGTGAGACTTCTCCCAACTGCTTATAGAATATTTCGACTGATACTTCATCCTGGTTGGGCAGTCTATAACAGACTCCTACCATGATATCTACCTTCGTGGCCTTCCCCCTGATTCTTACCCATAAACACTCAACACTATCATCACCATCGTTAAGCTCTAGACAGTCAAAACACTCCCTAACATACAGGGCTACCCCACTGCCTCTCCATCCCTGTCTATCCCTTCTAAAGAGTTTATAGCCACCCCTTGCAACACTCCAGTTGTGCAAGTCATCTCACCATGTTTCCATGGTGGCAACTATATGATAGTTTTCCCACTGCAGAATGGCTTTCAGCTCCTCCTCTTTGCTGCCCATGCTGTGTGCATTGGTGTAGATGCACTACAGTTCAACTATTGATCCCACCACCTTTTGGGGAGAGAAGCCCTAATTCCTACATGACTATTCTCAGGCTTCTGTGGTTTCTAACACATCAACAAGCCTTGCGTTTTTGCTGTCGCATGGCTCTTCATCCCCTACCTCCACTGAGACAGCAGACCAAGAACCTCACTAGCACACCACCCCTCAAACACTGGCATGCTGCCCTCAGGGTTATCATTAATGAGCCTGGTTTTATCCCTTTCCCCCGTCAAATCTAGTTTAAAGCTCTTTCAGTGAGCCCTGCTAACTCCTGTGCAAAGATCCTTTTCTCCTTTTGAGACAGGTGTGCCCCATCTGTTTCCAGAAGGCCTGGTGTCTTGTAAACCGACCCATGATCAAAAACCCCTAAATTCTGCCTGTGACACCAGGCTTCTTCCCCAGTAAGTAACTGCTACAAATCAGTGCTGGTATTTACTAACAGCAGGCATAATAGGGCTGAACTAATGAGAAACAAGGTAAATGTACAGTCGTGTATTCTTTTGTAAAAGGAAGTTTGGCTTTAAAAGAAAAAAATGCATATGCTTGGATAAAAGTGCAGGCAGAGATGTCTAGTCCCAGTCAAACTGAAAGATAACTACAAACCACATGTAAATCACCTGTGTAACATGAAAAACAGCTATATATGAAATACTTGCAAATAAAGGGTCAAAGTAAGCCAACAACGAAAATATTGAAATGTTTCTACTTGCTAACTGTAAAGATGTTTAGAAGTGCCAGATAATTCACTCTTATTTTAAAAAATAGAAAAATATGAAAAATATTTACCTAAGTAAATGAAGAAAGTCTAGACCAGTGCAATGTGAATTACAACAGTAATTCAACTATTTTGCTAGTTAAAGGCATTAGTTAGGTACATTTTCATGGTTTTACAGTGCAATGTGATTAAGCCTTACTCAGATGAAGACTTTGTTATTTGGGACATGCTACTGCAAACAGTTGGCAGTGCAAATCCATGCTATCCAAATGAAACTTAAGAATTGAGGGGCAGAGGAAAAGAGGTGAAACAAGTGATTTATCAGTAAAAATAAAAAAGCTGATTGTCACATTTTGAAACTATCTTTTTAGCACTACAAAATGTAGTAAACTTAGAATCACTATAAAAAATTGTCATTTTTAACTTACAAATCCAACATGTGCATTTAGACATCTGAACAGTAGTTTACAAAACACATTCCAAAGGTGAACACCATCACAGTAGTATACAGCCCTGTTCTCCTCACACACATTTCTTTAAACAAATTTCTCAGCCAGCCTAATCTGAAATACAAACATCTTCAAAGGTTATGACTGTCAAGGATTTTAAGCCACTTATTCTGTTTTCTTTGCCTGTCTTTTCTTAACGTCATCATGGTGCTGTTCAGAAGAAGACCGGGCACAGACTGAAGAGCCATTGGAAGATGTGGCACCTTCACCCGTCACTTTGGATGGTGTCTTTTGCAAGCCAAAGAACATATGGCCTAACGCAGCCTCAAAGGGAGCAAATGGAGAAGTTGCAGATCTTGTCAACATCATTGTTACCTATGAAGAACAAGGATCAAGTTACAATAAAAGTTTCAATGACTTCACAGTGATTGAAAGCTGAATGGATGTATGGTATTTCTAACTTTCTACACAAGCATGCGGCCATATCACCAAGAACAGAAATATGTTCATTTTAGCTTGAACTGATGAAAGAACGTTCTTCTTTCTGACCTACACTCTTCACACAGCTATACGCAATATGCACAAAAAACTTTTTGTGCAAGTTTACTAAAATCATCCTAAGAGTAAACCACATTTAATGTCATACAACTAAGGTGAAGAGCAACTTTTATGTGTAAGTTTTGTACCTTGTTCAAACTGAAAAACTGTAAACAGAGTGGCTACTTCCATTTAAATTGAAAGAATGCAATGTGTAAGCACCTAAATATGTATGCACAGCCACAGTTTAGTTAGAATTCCAGACGGCCATACTCATTCCATAAAGTTGAAGAGTTTTAGGTGGCAATTCGTTAGAACACATAACTTGGAACCAGGATAGAAAAAAATTTTGTAGATCCAGGTACTGAACAAGTTTATATTGCAACAGCTTCTACAGTATTCAGCGACCTGAAAAGTTTATAAAACACACTACTACAGGACTATGCCAGATCCAGAACTGTTGCTTTATTAGTTAAGTGGATATTCAAGTTCCTGAGTGTCAGTATGACCATCAGTTTAAGAACTTATTCACTTCAGTGCAGCCTGATGGCCAGCTTTTGAAGACAGCTGTAATTTTTCACTTCCAGAATAACATTCCTTTCCTTCTTCATTCCCAGCATCCCCAGTTCAACAATACCTTATAGGTGGAGAATCATGAGCATCAGCTTGAAGTCTTGGCTTCTGAAAGTAACTTCTCTAGAATTAAACGTGTCAGTTACTTCACAGAAGTAGCAACCACCACTTTAAGACAGTCTCTAGTCTGTTCAACAGCAGCTCTGAAGCTCTTAAAATCGCCAGACTTCTGCCAACACAGAGACTACACTTTCTTATTAGCTAATTAGCTTATTAGCTAATAATCCTAAAGGCAGGCATCACCCTGCAAATGAACAACACTGGAGAGATTAAAGGATTCAATAGAAAAGTAGTATTTATTTTATTATAAATGTAGTTACAGCTGCTTCAAAGTGGTTTTGATACACTTTCTCTTCCCACCTAAACACTTCATGTTGTGAACACTTTAAGATTCATGAGAACCTAGTTGGCTTGTTTTGAAAACCCACAGATGACTGCACAGGTACAAGAAAAGTGTTAAGCAGCTAGAAAAAGGCATAGAACAAGAGGGTTTCCTTCTATAAGCATAAGCTCTGTTTGAGATTATGGACATACAAGCCTGGCATATCAACCGCTGGGTGCCAAAATTCCTGATTTTATTTTTTTTTCCATACATTGAACACTATCAGTAACAGAGTAAGTCTTCTGTCCTGCTTATGTATAGAAGACTAAACACAGGTTTAAGACTTCAGTAGGAGCTGGCCTTCCCATCCAGAAGCACGCATTCTAACTTGTGGCAGAATGTTTGAGAGTGTATTTTTTGCTCTCAAATAATGAAATAAAATATTTTCTGTTATTCAGTTATTTGCAACACTTCCACATTCTTACCTTGGAGACGACAAGAAAGACGGTGTATAAAAACACGAGGTTGTGTCTTGCTATTGGCAAGTACTGGCTGTGTTGCAGGGTGAAAAGTACTGCTCCTATCAAAGTTACCTTCACAGGGCTGGAAATCAAACAAACAATGTTAATTTCTCTTCTCTACTTTACAGTGAAAACTGCCACGGCCTGGAAAACAATAAATGTTCTTAGTGTGCAAAATAATTATTTCTGAATAGAACTGATGAAAACTTGTTGTAGAAGTGACAAGGTCCAAAACCTACCTATAATTAAACTAAGACTTTCACTTTATATACTATTACTATGCTTTCTGTCCGTAACATGGAGAAGCATCAAGTTCAGCACTACTTTACACACCCAGCAAACTCATATTTGACAAATCCTCCTCGAATCAATGCTTCTATTCAGACTCTACACGTGAGCTTGCTCCTCTTCTTCCTCTCCCAATATATCTTACTGAAGAGTTAAATCACAAAGCTTGCACTAGACTTAAAAATAGGTTCCTCCCCTATAAACCAAGTGTTAGTTACTCCAAGGAGTTGCTTAAGGTGTTGAAGAACAACATAGTCCAAGTCTCGGTTCACTTGACACTCCAGCAGTTCTAGGGCTGTAATCAGGTTGTACTTGACTTGAACGAGGCCTATGTTACCAGGTTTTGCTAACATAGCTGTGTTGACTTGAGACATGCAAAGATTTACATCTTCTAGCTATCCTCATTGCGGTGGCAAATCTCTTGCTAGGTATGCAGTCCGAAAACAAGAGAACTTCAGTCAGTTATCTAAAGCCCTCTGAAGAGAGAGCACTAATATACTGGCATAAAAATTCTGTGCATTTCTTAATCTGCATCTATATGTGACATGTCCAGGTGACATTCCTGTTATCACAGACCATCTAGACACATTCTTCACTGTCTTTTCAGTAACTCAGAGATTTACTGCATCAGCTTCCTGCTCAGGAAGTCCAAAAAATAACTCAGTGTACACAGGCATCTCATCCATTTGCAGAATGTTTTATCCATTGAACTTTGTAACTTACTTCTATTTAATATTCTTAAACTTTATATATTAAACAAAATTTTTTAAATCCTTTTTGAGTTACTTTGAGCCACATCCACCATGGAGAAGGAGAATATATGCAAGCATTGCCATAGTCAGTAAGCACTGCTCTAGTGTTGCACCTGTAAGTACAGTGTTATTTGGGTTTACAGTGCTATTATTGACAGTGACCTCTTCATTCTGGAAGTTTTTTTTTTTCCAAGACTGCCACTTAGGCACTGACAGAGGAAGAGAAATTCTAAATACCTGGAATTTCCAAAAAAGCCAACAACTAAGATAAGCCATAAAATGTTGAAATATTGCCAAAGAAAAGGCTACAAATTTCTCTTCTGTTATTCTGTTGCTAAGAGTGGCTGCAGAAAAGCAAGGCAACTTTAAAAAAAAAAATAAAAAAATTCTAAAGACCTGTGAGTAGCATGTGAAAGATCAAACGAATTTCAGGGAACTACCACAGTGAGCTTATCTTGACTTACAATAATAGCTTGTGGCCTTCTAGCCTGTCTCAATTTTCATTTTACTGTACAGACTAAACCAGGAGCCATGTAATATTCCCATTCTTTGCTTCTGCAAAAGAAGTAACATCTCCTATCTTGCAGTACATTTTTGCTGTATCAAATAACCAGTTTGCACCTTCTCAAATATTTGATATCTATGGAGGAAAACAGTACTGGCAGAGAAAGTAAGAGTGACAAAGCTCTAAGGAAGCCATCTTTGTGATGCTCAGAACATGCATCAAAAATCAGACTTCACTTGTATACTTCTGGTACCACTGTTCTTTCATTTTGGATAGCAGACCATGTCCCTGTAAGACAATTGAGTCAACAGTGCTTTCCAGCAGCTTCGTACTGACTCAATACTGCTTTCTGCCAAATAATTTTTGTTATTTGGTTTTCTCATTTGGTGTTCCTGTGCTATGAACCTAAAATGATTAAAACATCTGCTAAAATTACTGAAGATAATCAACCAATCTTTCACAAGATACACATCAAAACATTGAATACAAACATGCTATACTGCCTTTTTTTTTTTTATTTGAACCACTAGAAGTGAGTGTCAACAAAAGGAGTTAGCAAAACAACAGTTAATATGTTGTGGTTTCTTTTAAAAACTTACTAGGACATCTTCAGTAGTTCATTCGTTTCAGGTTTCCACACTCCTCTCACCAGCTGCTCAAAGTTGGAAATTAGGCCACCTCCAGCTCCTGAAATTGCAGAGATTTATGATAAGCCTCCACTGACTGCTGCCACTGCTATGCAACCTACTATTGCTCCCAGCAAAACTCATTAGACCAGGTGCCAAATGTGACACCCAAAGCTCAGACTTAGAGAGATTAATTCAATCTTTTATATGTGCATGACTTGAGCAATTGACATGAAACCTCAGAGGTTTAGCTACTTAGCAAGAACCTCGGGTTTACCTTTATGTGATAGCATCTGAACTAATGCACTCATGACCACAAACAAATGCCTGAATTGCCAAATAAATCTCCAGAGAGGCTTGTATCATTGCATTCTTCATGTCACCATACAAGTACAGAGAGCATCTCTATAAACTATGAGGAACCTCCACAAGAAAAATGGGTATGTATTTTTACATTAAAAGAATACAAGACATAAGGAGGTGTTAGACACTCTAGCCAATGAGACTGATCTGTATTATAACCTGGGAAAAGAATATGTTAGATCATCACATTAACACGTGTTGTTTCCCAAAGCAGAACAGAATCAAGCAAACAGAAACAAGAGCTGCACTCCTACTTCCTGAAGTAGTTCTAATGTTGTGACTACAAATACAGGTGCAAGGAAGGTAGCTTCAACAGTCATACTCCAAACAGCAGGCAGGCAAGAAGGTTCATTCCTGTGTTTAAAGTCAGCTAAGGGTTACAATCCAAAAAGCTAAGAAAACAAGTTCTCTGCTTCAGCCACACGCAAGGAAAACAGCTCTGAGGAAAAATGCTGTTGGAAAGTTTAGTAATAGCATTGAAGCTACACGGGAGATCTATTTCTTTATTGCCATCAACTGCCCACCCTACAAGTCCTCACAAGACCTTCTGAAAAGGTAAGATGAACTTCCCTCAAAGTCATTCACTGTCACCCTTAATCCAAGCAGAAAAACTGCTGCACAGGCTTCTCCCTTGAGGGGATAACAGACTGTATTAGGACTATCATATCCAAGCACAGCAAGGAATGGTCCTGCAGTTATGCTGAAGGGTTAGCCATTTAAATACCACTCCAAAACATCACAATTAATCAGAATAAGATGTTATGCATGTTACCTCTGGCCCAGCCCACAGCTACCATGACAAGCCAGGCATCTTTGAAGTGACTGTTTGCATGTGCAACGCCAGCTGTTATCTTCCAAGTCCTCGTCACTTCTTTCATTCCTGCAACCAGAAGTCGAAGAGGCAGAAAGGCAAAGCACCGGTAGAATATGTCTTGTGGGCAGTAAAACACAAGATACCTGAAAATCAAGAGAAAACCCATTAGCAGCACTCAAAAGCTTTTGCTAAAGAATTCACTTTCTAATAACTTTTAAAGGTATTTTTGGAATATGACTAGCAATGCATGATATACTACTGATAACTCACTGTCTTGTGTGGTAGACATACTAGAACAAATTTGAAATGCTTTTGGGCATGCTTGAGCTCTTGCACTGAAATCAGCAAACATCATTTGAAATTTGTACTTACTGCCTCATTATCCAGAGAAGAATCCATTAATACATGAGAAAGAGCTTTAAATTTTACCAACTGTTCTATAGCTTACATATCATGTTGTTATAATTCAAAGTATTAAATTAGTGTCTGACTGACGTGTGGTTTGGGTTTTTGTGGGTTATTTTTTGTTTGGTCTGTTTTTTTTTATTTTTTTTTAGGTTATTTTTCATTTGTTTGGGTTTTTTTGGTTTGCTCTTTTTTTTAGGATTACAACAGGTTGGTAAATTACATGCTGACATCATGCTTTCATACTGATAGGTACATGACATCATATAACTTCAGCAAGAATGCCTCCACTAGTTAGTGTCATGTCAGATGAAATGCACAGCTGTTTTCAAACACATTTCACATCTTAGTAACCACAAATTCTAGCTTTTCCTGCTTGCCAATTACAAGCACATTTCTTTTTTCAAACTGTTGAAAGCACAGTACTCAAAATTTAATAATATCTTTTATCAACTTGCTTTTAAGACAAAGTAAGGGTAAAGACGGCTAACAATGAAATCCTAAACTGACAGTAAATTTTAAAAGATTAGATTATGGTGTGTTTTACGTATCTCTTCAGTCATAAACAAAAGTCAGTTCTTAGAGACATTCAACATCTCAAAAAAAAAAAAATCAAGATTAAGTATCCAGATTATTTCAGCACAGGAAGAAGACAGTAACAATTAAGAAAGGGCAGAGACAGCCTTTAAAAGATGGGAAGGGTACTTTTCCATTTTCTAAAAAAGATACTTCCCTGTTTCTTTAGGCTTCTGGGCTCAATCCTAGCTACCAAGAATTTCTAAGGCTGTATCCTTCTCCTGTTTACTCATCTGCAGATGTACCTCTTGTATCTAGTTTACTTCATTAGAACTACTAGCAGACACTACAATTAGGAAGAGTCATGCTTCGTGGTTAGAGATTAGAAATCAGGACAGCACCTGGGCTTTGGGGTTTTTTTCCAGACAAAACCACTTATTCTTTACAGCAGGATGCTAGGAAGCTTCCTCCCTAGAAAGGCAAAGTTTAGCTGAAGGCCTGTCCTGGCTATGTATTTTCTTCTTCTGCTGCCACTGCAGACTTCTAAAGCTTCTTCTCTTCAAGACCTTCCAGAGTGGAGCATGCAATAGTCCATTTCTCACATACAAGAATGTTACTGGAATTTAGATTAATAGCTAACTACTGCTCTGATGTTCAGTTTTAGCTTTACTTTTGAACTACTTATATTACTCCTTTTGCTCCTATTGTAAGGTCAATTGCCTTTGTATGCAACCATGCCTCAGTTGATATGAAGTCAAAGATACATAGAGAGCATGTATTTTAATGGCTACTGAAATAGCCATTTAAGCCATGTCAACAGACAACACTAACCAGAATTAATTTACAATTGCAGAATGTGGCTTTAGGACCCTGAAGCACAGGTAACTGGATTGAACCTAGCACTGCAGTCCCACCACAGCAGTTTTGCCTGTAATTTATGCTAGCAACACTTGCTAACAGTAGATGTCACTGTCCTACAAACTATTCAGGAGCATTTCACAAACATAAAACAACTGCTTCCATTTTCCAGTTTTATCTATGGCTTGGGGAATTTTGTTTCACATGATTTAGGACCAAGAATTAAAGCCATTATACTCATGAAAAGAGAACTTTGTAAAACTAGAAGCTTAAAAGGTTTCATAACATTCATAGCTTCTCATTAAAACCTCATTTTATTTGTGCACAGCAATCACATTTGACCATGTTAAGTTCAACAGAAATCCTGTTCTGTTTAGGTGTACTCCTAATTTGTGTCATTTGTTAAAACAAGCAGTCATGTTGCCCACATCAGACTAACATGAACCATAAGAAGATTCTATAAGCTTTGTCAATAGTGCATTATTTATTGCATATTGTTCATTTCATCGATTTGCCTAAATGAAATCTGTCATCTTCCATTGCAACATGAACACCAGAAGACTAATATATATATATACACACACAAAGATGGAAACACTTACTTTCATTTTAATGAATTTGCAATTATAAAACCTATGGGGCTACGAGGAACAGATACTAAAGGACTTCAAGCAGATAACACTATTCTAAGATAGGAATTAAGATTTTTAAATTCAAAAACCCACTGTTGCTCAGAAATTTTGTCAAGTTTCAGGTTTTCTTCAAAGATCACTTTCTGGAACAAATTAACTCCACTGGAAGGCCACATTTATATGAAAATATCTCCAGTGCTTTTTTCCAATCCCAAAACAGGCCAAGTTGTTGCTTCGTTCACAAACCTGACTTCCCATTCTGCTCTCTACTATCTTCCACTACAATGCCCATCCATTTGGGAAAGGGCAAAATATAGAAAAAAAAAATTATGTCAGGAAGCAGAAACTGGAGGAGAGGAAAGAAGATCTGTGTCTTAGATCCCCAATCACAGAAAAGTTCAACATTTTTACATCAGCCAGGTTCTGGTCTTCAAGAGCTACTGCTGAAAAACTAGACTGCATTTATGACTTACCTATATCCAGGAAAGCAGTTACTGAAGTCAATTTTATTCCAAAACAATGTTTTCAGCTGTTTGACCAGGAATATTATAAAAATCTACAGTAAGGCTAATCTAGTGACTGAGCATTTCGTTATACAACAGCCCATAGGAGTTGCTCTCTTATGAGCATTTCATTCCTACAGAACAAGATCGTAACAGCTAATTTGTTGCAGTGACTTTCTGATGAAGAGACAGTATCCAAATCCATCACATTTTTAAGTTAAGGTTCTCATTTACATGGAAGCTCAATGGTCTAATGTCAGTTTAGAAAGTATAGCTTCCTCAGAACCAATACTACTCATCTAACTCGATCGTGGCTGCTTACCAGACTGCAGACGCTAGCAGAATATTTGTGCCTTTTGCCAGAAACGCTACTGGAGGTTCTGCAAGCATCAATGAAGACAAAACTGAACCACCAAAGCAATAAAGCATGGCACTAAACCAGCACGCAATTGGACTTCGCACTGACACTTCCACAGCTCCTAAAACAAAGGGAAAAGATGCATAAATAGAAATAAACATTTAAGAATTATGTCATGTTTTAAAAGTCAGTATTTTTCAAATCATTCAGTCCAACATGGCTCCTTTAGGCAATGAAAAACCTTGCAGAAATCTGTAGGCTTTCACAGGAAAAGTATTCAGAATTACAAACTTCAGAGTACACTGACTTAAGCATATGCTATCTAAATAAAAGTGAAGGACTGACATTGTGCTCTAAACATCTTTTATGTATTAGTTTTTTATAACTATTTGGCTACCAAGAAGAAAAAGCTTTCAGAGCACGGCTGAGAGGTCTCATTGTTAATAATCTGGCATAGATGTATAGTTGCTTTCAAATTTGTATTAAAAATACACAAGTGACTTTGCTGACCTAGACAGGATTGGTATTGGTAACTTTTGGGGTGGTTATTCTACAAATTCCATTTTTCTTTTGAGTGTTCATGAATTCAAGGTCACTGTTTTCCTTTTTCCTCATAACACCCTGCTAACTGTGTTTGCTGACCAAAATGAAAGCAGTATCCAAGACAATTATTAAATAGTTTCACCTGCAGTCCTGAACAGAGGAAGAAGGTTACCTGAAGCCGTCATAATAAATGTAAGCTTCCCTTGTTATTAAAAGGTTCACAGTTTGGTTTATTTTGTTATCTTTAAAATTAATTATCCTTTTTAAGTTGCAATTGAAGTATACAAAAAGAGTATTCAATATTAAAAGACTGTGCTGGTGGTAATGGGAAGCCTTAACCAGTTTCAGGGGGAAATGACACTTTATCAAAGCCAGAAATATCATCAAGTAGTTGTTTGACTATTTCCTTCCACTTCAAAAGTTCAATGTCCCCAAAGCTTCCCCTTCACACAGGTGCAGAGCTCTGTTTGCCTGAACTGGTTTCACTGTCCATAGTCCAAACATCGAAGTTCACAAAAGCAGAGATGAAACCTAGTGTCTGCCCCAAAATGAAATTTGACATGCTACCAATTCAGAGGAGAAGCTTTCGGTTTTTCAGGCATTTCTGTGGGAAGAGAAGCTTCTTATCGAAGATCAGAAGCTCAAATGTATCAAAAAGAATACAGCACTCCCAATATTATTCACTTCATACAAGAGTATTAACGAGATTGTTCTAGTTTTAGTGCTGCCACAGCTATCACATATTGCAGCACTATCTAAATTCCTATGTAACAGCCAATTTATAAAAATGAGCATCCCTAAGTATTACAGAATATCTGAATATAAAATAACATCTCATTTGTTTGTAACTATTGCATAATTTATTTTCCATATTGCAGTATCTGGTGCTCCAAGTCAGTTATGCTTAGCTTTGTTACTGCGTATTACCACCTCTTCAAACTAGCCATCAATTATGTTCGTGTGCATAAAATTAACAGGAGAAAATTCTAAAGCCTGCTAATGTTACTTAACAACAAAGGTAAAAATATAAAGTGGGCCATTACATCCAGATCTCATATAACTGAGTGTGGACCTATTTTCACCAATATATTTGAAAAGGGAAAGACACTTGCAGAATGTTAATGGCTTGTGCTTACTACATTGAGGTTTCCTCAATTAAAAAAAGAAGAAAATCTAAAAATTGCTGACAGCCATTGCATTCAGAAAAAAACCACAAAATTATATTAAGTAGACACTCACTGGTCCAAAAGAACTATGGCAGCTTCCTTGTCACATGTAATTATTCTCTTGTTTGATGACAGAGCCGCATTACAAGTACTACTACATACCTACTTTAGCATGAAAGGACTGAATTCCCTTTCTCACAACAAGAAGAGAATACCGTACTCCCACCTCAGTAACCTCTCTGTTGAGTAACTCCACTAAATGCTGCCGTGGCATTATAGCACAAAGTGACCATATAGAGAAGAAACATCCCAAACTTTACAGGACAATGGGAAAACCCAGCTAACAGAGGCAGCCACTGTAAATTACAGATCAGAAGGCAACATGTGCTGGAACTGGGCAGTACTGCTAACCGATCAGCTGCTGCCTTATTCACAGGCTTTAACTCCTGGACAGATGTAACGCAGGGTGTAATCTGCACAGTAATCTGGTCTGGAGCGAGACTGGTAACTAGATCATGACAGGAGGTTCCACATCTAAGAACTGTCAACCTCCAGACCAGGCTTTAAAAAAAACAATCCTATACTTCAGACATTCATTGTCAGGTAGGTGTACACCAACTTGTCTTTCATTAGCAGGAACCTTCTCACCTTGCATTAGCAGAGAACTAATCATTTTCACATCTTACTGGCAGCCTTCATCAGAATATCAAACTACCCCCTCCCTCCCCACAAAATGCAGCATGACTGAGAGCTAGCTAACCAAAATTCAGCTGCTTCTTCAACTCACCAGGTATTTGGTCAGATTACCAATATAAGAAAAGGAAACCATTCCAGGTGCTGTGTCTTTGAATTTAACACACTGTATTTTATCTTTCACGCACATGGACATTAATGAAACACAGCTAGTAACAACTAGTTTTAAGGAAAAAATGTAAGGTTCTCATGTATCAGGTCTGAAAAGGTTTAAATTGATTTTTATTGTACATTTGATATTGTTTCTAGTTCAACTTGCCTTCTCTCCTCCATATCTTGTGAAAATATTTTCATGATTTTTCACTTCCTATACTGAAGACCAGATTAAAAAAAAAACAATTTAAAAAAGTAAAATCCAATGAAATGTTGGAGTTGTTTTGAAATTAGTTAGCTATCTGTTCTCTTTTCAAGTCCATTCTCCTGCCTATCATCAATCACCAGTTCTCCACTCAAAAACCCCCATAACTAGCAGCAAGTAGTTTCCAGTTTTGAGTACACACATGGGAATTACTATTATTATTAACAGATTGCCCTCTATGAGCAAGTTCCACAACAAAGCATGTAAATTTCTTCATTAAATTATTACATATAAAAGGACAACAGACTGGAAACTCTACTGGACTTCAAGATTTTTCCGTTGGTCAACGTTAAGAGTTTTCTTGGCTCAAACATCAATATTTAACAATTCATACTTGCTTTCTAATAAGAAATATACCCAACATAGAAGGCAATGAGGCCAAAAACGCTGATACTAATGTAAAGCTCATCTTGGCATTGCTATGTAAATTATGACTGAGATGTAACCTTTCAGAAAACAAGCTCAATTTTAAGTGGGTCACATGTTTTCAAACAAGTGGTCGTTTATATTTGTCCTATGATGCAGCCTCTAAAACTAATGAGGCATCATACAACCATGCAAAATATGATCTGCCAAAAGGCCACTAGTCCTGCAAATGGTATACTTTAGAAAGCAAAGATAAGGTTTCAAAATGCAAGGACTATTGTTGAATACAGTTTTAAATGTTGTTTCCAGACAATAATAAGAAAAAAAACCTCGCCAGCTAACTATTTCTGGCAGTAGGATAAGATCTGCTTTAACCTTTCCAACGTGTTCCAAATAGGCAAGCAGGAATACACACCACATGCACATCTAAAAAGCAAACCAGAAGGACTTGTAGAAGTTTTTCTAGCACCCCTATTCAACTATACATAATAGCATACATATAATAGCAACTATATATAATAGCATAATGATGCTAAAGGATTTATAGAGTCAGATTTAATTTAGCAAAACTCTGACAAAAAAAAATTAGTTGTCTTCAAATCACCAGAATCATGTCATAGAAAACTTGCAAGAACAAAACCAGCACATTCCTTCCAAATATGACACATCCTCAACCCTCAACACCTTTAGCTGGCCCTCCAACCCTAAAGAAGAAAATTGCCAGTTCTACAACTGACTGGAGTTAAAAATGAGCAACATCTAAGCAATCCCAAACACATTAACCAAAACCTCTTAGTTTAAAACACGTGGAAAGCAACTTGGTGGTTGTCACTGCTGTAGTTTGCCAGCACTCACAAGTGAGCAAGAAAAGTGGCTGGAGGCACTGGAAAAGTCCCTGTTAGTGTGTGCCCACCCATGATACAAACACCCACACTGAATCTGATTTTAAGCAGTGTTGGGGGTTGGTATTTTAATGATACAGTAATCTGGGATAAAACAAGCATGGCTCTGACTCGACCACATACTTCTTGCATTACCAGCCACTTAGGTTACCCAGTTATTCCCCTGTGAGACATAGCTACTGTTTTAAGTTTCCAAAAAGAATATGTAGTAATACCTAGTGAACATTAATCAATGATAATATATCCATCCTGAGTATTTAATAATGACTGGTATTTCAGTTACAATTTAATATTCAGTTCAAATTGCTTGCAAGTGAGCAGCAGACCATCATGCAGTCACCTGAATTACAGTTATTAATTCAAAGTATTAGAGGATACTCAAGAGTTCTGAACTTCCCAGCCATTAAGCCAAGAAGAAAAAAAATTATCAGCACAGATCTGACCAGACTTCTGACAGCAAGTGCTGCCTCACTGAAGCTATGCTGATGCTAGCAAAATAGGGAGACTCCTCTCACCCCGGTCTTTTAAGTGTGTCCATTCCAGAGGAAAGTTTAAAGGTAGTGCACGACAATGTCAAATACCTTTAGACAAAAAGGTCCTTTTTGAATGGAATAGTTACATTACACAATGTCACAAGTCAGCACCCAAAAACAATTTTAGCAGTAGTAACAAAATTTGGTGAAGACGTTAGCATACGTAAGCATTTTATATCAGTCTTCACAGTCTGCTAAGTGCACTTACTCAGCAGGAAGTAAAAATTCACCTTGACACATTTAGGAAGGGACAATAGAACGAGCTCTCACTAAACAAACAGCGCAGAGCCTTAAAAATCTGAAGCAAGCAGAAGGTCCCAAATCTGCACTATAATCCTGAAAGCCAGCTTAGTTTCCCACACAGCTGGGATGCACAGTTACTGTGACTGTCCAAAGCCACACCACAAGCGGCTATTCTAAACATTAAAACAAGGCTAGTTTCTACATTTGTGACAACTAAAAACTAGGCTTGGGGTTAACAACCATACTGCAAAAGATTTTCTAGAAAAAGAGCATGTAGAGATTGAAGTGTCATTATGTGCACTCATACAAAATCCAAAATCCTGTTAACGGGGGTGAAAAGATTTCCTAATTTAATTTTACAATCTATGGGTGCAAGGTGAGAAATCACTAGCACACAACCTGCCCATTAGATTCCCATGCTGTTTTTCCTAGAAGACAGAACTGCCTTAACAGCTTCCTGCACACCCAGGGTATGTGAAAGATACAAACCCATGAGTTAAGCAGCTCTCCTCTCACCTCTCAGATGTAATACCTGACAGCAAGTCGCTGGCCTGTGATCTGCATTCCTTCTCCACGTGCACAAGCCTAACTTCAGGGAGTTCAGCCCTTTTATTCTTGGGACTCTTAAAATCTGAAACTGCAAAAAGGTTTTCAACAAAACTCCTGGCTGATTTCACCAGTGCCTCTAGTTCTGAGAAAGCAAGAAAAGTTCAGCTGGGTGCTTCCTATGTGGTTTCTGCAGTCAATTAGACATTATTTATTGACAGATGGACTACGGAAGACTGCAGACGATCTTACCGGCATGCTTACGGACTAAGAGAGAACATCTGGATTTTGATGCAAGAGCAGCAGCCGGCAGGGGCAGGGCGAGGGGAGCGCGGCCGCTG